ACACACAAAACAAAACCCAAAAATTATATGAATGCAAGAGCACAGTAGAACAAAAACCATTTTCTTTTACAAATACGTTTTATAAATATTTTCTTCCAATTTGATGAGCTTTTTAGTATTAACTATTTTAGTTTGAATAAACATACTAACAAAGCACTTAACACTGAACTGCTCTTATATTACAAGGTTAAATCTAATACGGCATTGGTATATTATGGCTTAAAAAGTTATGGGAGTTTATTTTGAACATTTAAACAAAAATGTTCTGTAGTTTTCTTTTTTTGGGTGTTATCTTTAGACTGGACAAGTAAGTTATCAGTATGTTTAAACAAAAAGACTGGAAAGTTTTTGTACTTACTCTGTGTTCTGGAATAGTACTATGATTTTCTACACATGAATTATCTGTTCTTTGGGGTTTAAAATACTTGTTTAAAAGACCACTTGCCTTTATTTTAACTGGCAGGTTCTTTGACAATTTTATCCATTTTTTGGGTAAGGTTATTTAATAATTTATTTAACAGCTGGGGCCTCCTCCTTCACACGAATCAGTTCTTGAATTGTGTATCCATTGTAATTTTATCTCTTAACACATAGAGGGTTAAGTCAGAAGTACTGCTAAAATCCTCTGTATACAGGGTAGATAGGGAAGGGCAACATAGACATTGGCTACCTCAAATGAGGGAGCAATAAAGGCACAAAGTGACTGGCTTACAAGTTTTCAAGATGGAGTGTAGTTTCAGTGAGGGGGAAGGTAGAGTCCCCACTGAATAGTTTAATCTTGTCTAGAGGGGTCTGGTGAAAAAAGATGGGCATAAGATTCTTATGTTTCAATACTGAGTAATTATTGTCATGACTAATTGCGACTGACAAAACAGTAAAGGTTCTGTAACATAAAGAGGGGAGTAGTTCATCTTATAGTTCAGGAACAGAGGACCCTAGGACTACACAGAGAGAAGAGAATAAGCAGAATGCGGGAACCTATGCAGAGAAGCAGCAACACCAGAGATGGAGGCAGAAATGAGGACATGGAGAGGTAGAGCAGCTGAAGACTCTAAGACTCATGGAAAGAAAAAGACTGGGTGCTGGTGGCCATGAGGCAGACTTGCAGAATGTGCCCTTTGGCTGTTTAAATGATTACATATTCCTGAGTGTTTTAAGTGTACACCACCACCACCACCACCAAAAAAAAAAAGAGGGAATAGAAGCAAATACTATTGAATGATGATGCATGGAGATCATAATCATTGCAACAAAATGATGGTGTAAAACTGATGTTCTCCCATATAAACTATCATTCAACTCAGAATAAAAACTTAAAAAAAAAAAAGTATTGCTACGAAAAAAATCACAGAAACCTTTATTAAGCAAAAATACCAAAATATGAAGCTATTATTTCTCAATATATCCTCCATCTAAGAGTGTACAGACGACTGTATACATGGACCTCACCAGATAGAATACATAGAAATCAAATTGACCACATGTGCAGAAAGACACAATGGAAACAGGTCAGTGAAAACAGGTCAGGGGCAGACTGTGGAACAGACCATCAATTAGTCATATGTAAATTCAAACTGAAGCTGAAGAAAATTAAAACAAGTCCACAAGAGCCAAAATATGACCTTGAATATATCCCACCTAAATTTAGAGATCATCTGAAGAACAGATTTGATACATTAAACCTAAAGACCGAAGACCAGAAGATGACATCAAGAATATCATACATGAAGAAAGCAAAAAAGTCACTGAGAAGACAAGA